TTTGTTATGTATTAAGAGGCATTTCCTGGAGTTCTGGTGAGAAGCCGCGACTAGTGGAGTTCAACCAGGTCTGTTGTAAGATATCAGCTCACTGAAGACAATGCTGTATGGTGACACAATTTCGTGGATTGGTTGAAGTTAGACAATAACACCGTTTGTTGCCGGCTCAGTAGTGTAATGTTTAAGCGCCCGCGTGCTATACTGATAGGTCATGGCTTCGAATCTCACGGGGGGCGGGATCGTGAGTGCACGCTGCCACTGAGGAGTCCCATACTAAGACGAAACGGCCTTCCAGTGCTTCCAGGTTTTCCATAGTGGTCTAGTTTCAATTGACTGATGATTTCATTTCCTGTCTAAACTTCTAAAGAAAACTAAGAAATTTTACTCAATTGATAAAAAAAAAGAAACTTGACGGGAAAAAAAAGATTTTAATGCTTAAACTTACAACAACAACAACCAAAAAAATATTTTACCCAAAATTTTCAAATAGAGAAAAATTTTTTAAAAAAAAATAGATTTTCTCTTTGTGAAAAACTTTTTCTATGGAACAAAAAAAGGAAAAAAAAGAAAGAAAACCTATTGATCTCAATATGTTCTCACATAAAACGTATTTCGTTATTTTCTCTGATAGTTAAGATTTTCCTTTTCTTTTTCTTTTTTAATCGATTCAATTACACACATTCTATTGAACGACTTAAACTTTCCCCGGGGTATTTTTTTTCACAAAAAGAAAAAAGTGAATATCCCAAGAGGATGGTTAAGTATAAAGGTGGTATTTTCATTTTTATTGTTGTTGTTGTTGTTATTGTTAATATTACAAAAAGGAAGTGAAGAAGTGGAAAAAAACAAGTTAGAGATAAGCTAATTAATTATAATTGTAAAACTATGAATTATATAAAAAGATAATCACTAATGTATATTATTGTTATATCCCGATAAACATAATGAATGGTAACTTTTGGGATCCATTTATGGACCACTACTATGAGTATATTTTTATCGTTCATATTCATGTCGGTCTTATTATAAGGTTTAATTTGACCCATAAACTATTATTATACGATTTACCATTATTGAGTTATGACCTGTTTAGTAATTACTATCTTCCTCATTCACAGCCACTTTTGGCTAAATAGTGTACAAATGTTGTTTCTTATTTTATGGTACGTTGTGGTCTATTTGATTGGTATATAAACACCGGTATGTTTGAAATAATGATTCATATTGCACAGGCTGAGATTGGTGTTCTGGACTCAACTGGCTGGGCTAGACAGGAAACAAGACCGATAAGAACACTAGGTTACTCGCACGTGTTTCATGCGTCAGTGGTTCGATCGATAATTCGCTGCTCTCTGATTGGCGATGGCGTTGCGTTATCCAATATACACGTTACACAGGTTCACAAGTTATCTTTTCATTTGGATGGTTATTACAATCTACTTCAATTTACAATGATAATCATATAAATGATAAAAAGTGTTATGTAAAGTAAATTTATTAGGTGATTTAAAGTAACCGATAGGAAATTCTATGTTGACTTATATTTCACACTTGTTGACAATCTTTAGTAAGTCATGTCTATTATCTTAAAAGGATTGATAGTTTCCTGTAAGATTTGTAAAGACATTTTATAACTCCATAATTTGTGATGTTACTGTAGTGAACAATAACACGAGTGGATACAGTCGACACAAAATTACACGACTTGTTAATAAAATCTAACAATCATAAAGTAGACGTTTGATTTGCAAAATGTCCATCAATTGGCTCAAAATGACTCAGACTTTATTGTTCTTGCATTTTCATACAAATTGCATTCGTTTCTTATTCTTTACTGTTCGATCCTATTGTCTCTCTGCTACCAGACATTCTGTTCGTGACTAAAGTCATATACTACTTATGTCGATATAAGTAGCACATATCACACTATAATTAAATCATACAAACTTTGACTAATTAACTGTAAGAATCAGTTATTTTACGATTGTTTGATCATCACTATACAATTTTGATAACCTTGATAATGATCAGTTTATATGAACTTAATCTATCTTGTGAATAGTCTGTGATAATCCAAGATAAGAATATAACCGCTAAATCAATTTTTACAGTTTTCATAATTCTATACTTATACATTTTGTGTATGTTTATGTGTAGGCATGTACATTTATTCTTTTATTCAATGTTTGTCTCTTTGCTCGAATTAGGCATTGCCTATCACAATAACGCTTATAGTATGTAATATTTAGGATAGAAACAATCACCTTCTCTTCTACTTCACGTTTATTTTACTTCGTTTGTCTGTGAAATGGAATGTATGCAATATATACATCAGAAACACTTTCATATTTGATTAATATCAGATGGGTTTTTTTGTGGAGATTGTAGTAATTTCAATGGTTAAGATCATGAGTCAGTTGAAGCTAGACCACCAGTGCTTCCAGGTTTTCCATGGTGGTCTAGCTTCAACTGACTCATGATCTTAACCATTGAAATTACTTTCATATTTGACCATTTATTATTTACATTGGATTAACTTGGTCAGTAGACAGAAATTATATATGCTAGTTAAACTAACATTCTGTTATTATGTACATTTACACAACTAATCATAGTGACAAATGTAATGATAGTAACAGTACTTAAAGCACTAATATATAGATTACATATCCAAAATGTTGAAATCGATCATTGTTCTTACAATTTCCACATAAGTCAAAATTTATGATTAGCTGATGAGGCATATAACTAGTGATATGTGTCTGATAATCAAATGTAATGAGTATGAAAATGCAACGTTTGAATATATCAGTAATAAGATGATAAACACCACTTTCTGTCTTGGTTAGTCCAGGAAAATATACAAATATTATAAACTTCTTTAGGTTATTGACTGGGAGTTTTGTAAGTTATACTGTGTTAGAGACATGTTCAAAAATTCAACTGAAAAATATGGAGTAATATTATTGAAATCATGAACCTATCTAAGTTAAATCACTATTGACAACTTGGAAACAATAAAAAGCTGTTTTGTTCTACTATGGGGCTCCTCTGCAGTGAGGATCCACGACCCCACTGGAAAGATTCGAAACCCAAGATCTTTGATCTAGCATACGAATACTTAACTTCTAGACCAGTGAATCAGCATTCAAGGAGGTTATTATCTAACTTCAATTAATACACAACATGAAGGAATATACAATCTTTTTATCTTACATAACTGAGTTTTGCTAATCAAGTTACTAAATATCACTTAGTCTGATGAAACAGAACAGTATATCGATTTTCCCAGCTCCGTAAATTGTACACAACTGATGTTGACACATAAACTTACACTCAAACCACCATGTTCATGACAGTTCAGTTTTCCAACTTTAGGTTCATCAGTTATTAAAGATAAAATATACCCTTAATCAAATGAAATTACAGGATAAAGTTTAGTTGTGGAAATAAGTCTACGAAACTAAAAGTACAACAAACTAATAGTAAAGTGATTGAAATTTGTAATCTTACACCTAATATTTCTGTGATAAGTTGATTAGAATAAACTTTTTAAAGTTTCATTCTGTTTCATCTTAAATTGGCAGATTACTAAAGTAATAACCAACAGAAATGAATTACCTGATAACGATATATAAGTGTAGGATGATACGTTAACCTAGACAACCTGGATGCCGGCTCAGTGGTCTGGAGATTAAGCGTTCGCGCCCGAGACCGATAGGTTTTGGGTTCAAACTTCACGTGGTGCAACTGTGGATATGCACTACGGATGAGTAACACAATAAGACGAAACAGCCGTCCAGTGCTTCCATGTTTCCCGTGATGGTTTAGCTTTAATTGACTCATGAATTCAATTATTAGATTTCATTTCTATCAAACTGGGACATCGTAAAAATGATACAAATTCATCTTAGGTTTCACGTTGATAATGATTACTGACCATAATAGATACTTTGCTGTCATATATTAGTAAAGAAGAAAACTTTTTTTCATATTTGTTTAGACTTTAAATAATCCTTATAAATTTCCATTAACTTTTCAAGCGAAAGGTATTGGGTTCGCGTTCCATTGTGAGCATAAATACTGGGATAAAGGTACATGCATGTGACTAATCCCAAACAAGAAGGAGCACTTTTTGTTAATTCTACTGCTAACCATTATCTATCTTCATTTATACTTTGTATTGTGTCTTGTGGATTGCAGATTAGAGCACAGCGAATTATCGATCGGATCAATGACACGTAAAACACGCACGAACGGCCTAGAGTCCTGATTGGCCCTGCTCCCCTGTCTATCCCAGACAGTTGAGTCCAGAATACCAATCTCAGGCTGTGCAATATGAATCGTTATATTTCAAACATACTCAGTTTATATACCAATCAAACAGACCACATCGTACCATAAAATAGAAAACAACATTTGTACAAGATTTAGTCAAATGTAGCTGTGAATAAGGGAGATAGTAATTGATAGATAGGGCATAACTCAAGAATGGTAAGTCACATAATAACAGTTCATAGGTCAAAATAAAGCTTATGATAAGAGGAACACGAATATGAATAGTTTAGTTATTTAACACATTCAGCTTCTGTAATATGAATCGAATCGAATCGAATCAGATCAGGTCGTTTATTTCAGACATACTCTGTTTATATACCAATCAACCAGACCACATCGTACCATAAAATAGAAAACAACATTTGTACAATATTTAACAAGTGAAATAAACATTGACCAATAAGAATTGTTCATTCAAAGTCCAAGGACACCATTAGACTTAACATGATAATGATTGGGATATTTTTCTGAATATCCCAACACTTTGATATAATCTGGTTACTTTTTCAATATACATCGTGGATCAAAAAATTTTTTTTCTATTTTACATTATTTCTAATTTAGATTACATTTTAACAGTATTCATTAACTGCCTTTACACACTAAATAACGTAATTCGGTACATTCCTCGAGTTTCCATATCTATTTTTGTTTCATTACAGGTGGATTAGAATATGAATTATATAGTACAAAAACGCCAGCTGCATTTAGACCACCTACAAATACATCATCTATCATTACTAAACCAACATTTAATACTAAACAAACATCTGTATCTATAACATCTCCATTGATTCATCGATTGAATAAACCTACTCCTGTTGATCCTCCACTTCATCATCATCATCATCATCAACATCATCATCATGATACTTCTTTATTAAAAACATCACTTTCATTACCTCCATTAGCTCAACCATGTAATGTAAATGCAATAGAAAACATAAATCGATCCTTGGTTACAAATCATTTACAACAAATGAATTTATCAAAATTGAAAACGGTAAAAAATAATCAATATTTCTAATCAATATTATTATCGTTTATTTTGTAAACTATTGAATTTGATTTAAATTATGAATAACCATTGGAGACCAGTAAGCATTGAAGGTTAAGCTTTAGGCATCAGAACTGAAGAGTCAATATCATATCCTCTATGGATTAAGAATACCTACTAACGACATTTATTTCTTGTTTGTTTGGATCTATATATAAATATATGGTAGTTGTTATGATTATTGTAAATAGTTTAGTTTACTGAAGATGCCATTAATGTTTAGCATATTGATCTTCAAGAAAAATACCGAGAACTATGTTCAAAGTAATAATTGATTTATGAATTCATTACATCAAGTGCTTACAGTTTGAATGAAATAAATGTTTGCAATTATAGATGAAAGATAACATATTATTTCTCAAACAAGTGTAGATGATTTATTTCTGTTCATTAGGTTGGAATGTCTCTGTTGTCAGTGTTAAAGATTTCAACGGATCAGTCAGTTTGATATCTTTGTATCCTGAACGAATTGCCTTGATATTAACACCATTTACAAGCATTTTGTTTGTAAAACATAGTTACACTGATAAGTTGCAGATCTTGACATCCACAGAGGCAAGGCTCAATTTGTCTTCATTATACAACCCATCACTTATTTGGAGTCAATAACTAAATAGATAACGTGTTAGTATTTTAAGTGAAGGACACTGAGTTAGAGTCTCGGTATGAACATCAACGATGGGACACAAGTATTTTCAGCTCAATAATTCCACATAGGTCAATATGTTCGTCTTGGAAGTGAAGTAAATACTGAAGAAAACTGATGAAGGCAATGAGTGAGATTGTTCATTTACGTATGTATGCGTTACACATAATGGATACGGTTTAAAATGTTGAGATCTGAAAGTTTCTTTTTTTTAAAAATAATTAATTAGCAACCGAAATGTAGCTTTACTAAGTTTCGATAAAGTAGTTGACAGATTAACCTCAGTGAAGATGATCTATATATTTTCAAGAAGCCAGTTGTCATTGTTTTTTTTTACCCCATGACAATTCGAATTTTCGATTATTATCTTATTTCATTTTAACATATATGTCATATCAATCTGTTGTGAACTTAAGCTAGTCTAGTTATCACGTGATTTATCCGCCAATCGAAATACGACCTATTCAATCTTAGTACTGTACCAAACCAATGACGTTCAATCGATATGAGCAACCTAGCGTCCTTATTGGTCCTATGTTTGTCTAGCACGTCCAGTTAAGTCCAGAATCCCATTAACAGCTTCCACTATGCGAATTGTTTATTGCAAACATACTTAGTTTATATACCAGCCAAACAAATCACATCATACCGTAAAATAGGAAATAACACTTATACAAGATACAAGATCAAACCAAAATGTGGCTGTGAACGTGGAAGACTGTAATTAATAATCTGGACATAACTTGAGGACAGTTAATCGTATAATAATAATCTATAAGTCAAAATGAAGTTTATAATAAGAGGAATATAGACATACATAATCTAGTAACTGAATAGTTATACAATATGAATACATATAGAATATGGGTTGATTAACAGATCTGAGAAGTTACATGTGATTTGATCTTCACTAGGATATGACACAATCATTTTAAAATACTTTAGTCTATAATGTGTAGGTTCGTATTCACTGATAATTCTGAAGTCGTCTGGCATAGACAATATGCAATTAAGGTACATAGCCAGAATCCGATTAAATCCCTTTATTTTACTTCCATTATTAATTAATATGTGATGTCTTTGAATGTAAGTTAGATTCTTTTGAAAAAATGCGGCACAACACCATGTTTTCTTTAAATTTACAAAAGCTTTATAAAGTCAAGTAACTCAATAGATTTTACATATGGGCAATTGTGGTGTAGGTTACTTATATCCACATAAGTAGTATATAACGTTGGTCATGCATAAAATGTATTTCAGTAGCAGATGTATAAGGAAAAAAACGGGAATGAAACGCAATTAGTATGAAAGTGCATGAACAATGAAATCTGAGACAATAAACTGATATTTGCAAAAGAAACAATCAAGCTTGAGACGATGGATTATTATTCTGAAAATTAACCTTTTATTATATGGTTTTCAGATTTTAATGAGATGCTCTTCAATTTCGTATCAAATGCATTCGATTGTCCCCACTTTTGTTCTTGTTCACTACACAATGAACTACAACGCAGGTGGGACACAACCAATGTATTTATTACAAAATCACAGAGTATCTTAGTAAAAGATTTTATGAGATTCTTTCAGTCCACAACCCCTTTTTTAAAAAAAATTTCTCTTCGATTCTCTTCAACTCAATCTTCATAGCCTCCTGCTGCCAGGTTTTCCACTTTCGACCGGTATAACATACTACTTATGTTGACAGACATAAGTAGCATACATCATAGATGTAGTTTAAACTTCGATTTCAGTGATACAGTAGTATGCTAGAAAAAAACACAATGTAATTGATAAGCAAAGATGGATAGTGGCTAGCAGTGGAATCCAGGACGCGCGTTTCGTCCTGTTTGGGACTCGTCAGCTGGATGTACCTGCATCTCAGAGTCGATGTTCACTCTGGGACTTGAACTCAGTACCGTTCGCTTCAAACGCCATCGCGTTATCCACTTAGCTACTGAGTCCTGATAGGCACTTGTAATTGATATAACAGAAAAGCCAGCTTAATAGAATGCTGTCATTTAAATGCATCTCATCTAAATGAAATTCAACCATTACTCTAGTGGCTTTAATACTGTTTATTCAAATTACTCAGTGATAAGTGGTTGCCACTTAATTTTACTAACCATTCTAAATAGAAACGAGAATAAATGCAAATCGTAGAATATATCAAATGTAAAGATTGTGTTAGCGTATAGATTTTTTAATGAGATTGTTTAGAATTCAAAAATCAGAAAGCATATTGCAGGACTTTTTTTATATATATGGAACCACGTCAGCAACTAAAACTCAAGGGATCCAGAGTTTATCGTGACTACTTTAAACATTGATCATTTCAGCACATATCTTAACATCCATTTATGACAATCAATACTTCTAGCTTTTACTACAATCATGACAGAATTCGACTGTCACTCATTCCATTGAAACTATGTTCGATTACCATTGAAAACATGGAAGCACAGAAACGCCGGTTTCATAATATTATAGGACTCCTCAACAGTGTGTATCCATAGTTCCGTACAGATTTACTAAAATTACTTTCTTAAATCACCGTTTGTTTTCAATACACCTTTTTCAATTGTTTATATTATAAGATAGAATTGTAAAAAAATTTTTAACCAAGAAAATATCAAATCAATTTTTCTACGGTTACTATACTACACGCTTAGAAAAAAACAAATACGTAGGTCTTATCAGTTATCTCGTTTTGGGATATAATAATAATAATAATAATAATCTTTTTCTTTCCTTGATTTTTTCTTTCTTTCTTTCTTTCTTCTTTTCTTTCTTCTTCTTCTTCTTCTTCTTCTTGTTCCTCTGTTTTATTCATTATTCACAGTTTACCAATTGACCATAATCATTTTAGTTAACTTAGTCAAGTATAAAAAGAATTATTTACTGGATTTCAGTTTACTAGAAAGAAAAAAGTGTTTAACTATATATATATATATTTTTTTATTGTTGTCGTTGTTGTTATTCGCCCTATTATTCCTCTAATCACTTTAGTTTTGATCGTCCATAAATAATGACCTAATTACCTGATGAGGTCAATGGGTTGAAAACGATGCCAGAGTTTGAATTGGTAGTAGTAGACAATGATTAAGGAGAGAGCGAGAGCGAGAGCGAGAGCGAGAGAGAGGATTAGGTTAAGAGAGGAAAATGAAAACGACTGAAAGTTTCGCGTTATTATTATTATTATTATTAGTATTTCGTTGGTTGGTTGATTAACATAGTCACTGTTATAACAATAATAATAATGAAAACCGTAGGAAACAATGAAAACTATTTCACTAGGTCAGAGAAACTTTGAGAAAGAGAAATTTAATTTATTTTATTCAATGCATTTTAAAAGAAAGAAAAAAGATAGAGATAGATAGATAGATAGATATCACAGTTTGGGTTTGATTTAGTTTAAGGATAAAGAATAAAATAGTATACAATATATGAATCATAATATCTCTATATACATAGTTATACGTCTATACGTATTACTTGATAATTGGACATAATTTATAATGTGGTGTGTGTGCTACTTATATCGACGTAAGTAGTATATGACTTTAGTCACGAACAGAATGTTTGGTGGCAGAGAGACAAGAGGATCGAACAGTAAAGAATGGAAACAGAATGCAATTTGCATGAAAATGTAAGAACAATGAAGTCTGGGTCATTTTGAGACAATTGGTGGACATTTTGCAAATTACGTATTTACTATTTGATTGTTAGATTTTATCAACAAGTCCTGTATGTTTGTGTCGATAACATTCGATTGTCCCCACCGGTGTTCTTGTTGACTGCAATACCACTATTTGTATATCGATAGAAATGTGTTACAGTAAATATTGAAATCTAGTTGTTATGTTAGATGGTGATGTAAAACTGTTGAATAGATTAGCTATGTTAAGTAAAACTTATTTTGTATGTGATTTACTTAATAACTTTATAGCCTTCTGCTATTTATATCTGTCAACATTAATAGCATACATCATAGATTTAGTTAAGGGTCATAGATAACATGTTACTAACTTATTATTGATGTTATTCCCTTATTGGTTGAGTATACTATTGTTAGAAGAATCTAGTTTATGTTCATAAATGGTAATTGGATTCTTGTATTGATAATCTTAATTAGGTTTCTTTTTTGTTTTGTTTTGAATTTAGTATTTCTGAATGATGTTGATTGTTTTTCAATTGGTTAGTATCATTTCGTTTACTGACTTTTCTATGTGAGGTAATATTTTGTTATAATCTGTATATACACAATTGTTCCATATCTATTTTCTCCTCTTTGAATGACAAG